TAAATGCTGAGTTGGTGTTGTTGCAGATGTTGCAGAATTGCTCAACTGTGGTATCGCAATTTCATGTTTCCCATGCAGACATTTTCTGAGTTGCTCACAGCCAAGGCGTTCTCATTCCTCTTGATTTCTCGTTTTCGCGCGATGCGAAACCCAACGTCTGCTTCCGCTGCTTCCGCCCCGGGGTCAAAGCGTGGGCTTCGCTGGGGGAACCCGGAAACGTCGAAGAGCTCCTTCCGCGAGGTGCGGCTGGGAGACGCCCAGATGGAGAGTTTGAGCGGCATGGTGAAGGAGCTGCAGGCCAACCAGGCGCGAGATGGATCGAGTTTTTCAGCCTGCTGAATGCTCAGGGCGGATGATTCCTAGATGTCCCAGTTTTTGTTGGTTTTTCTTTTTTTTTGCTCGGTAAGGCTCAGCTTTTCGGCCCAAAGGTGAGTGTCCGTTGGTGCAAGTGATGTTTTAAAGGGGCGAGAAAAACAAAAGGGAGATTGTGGCGTGGCTAGGGGAGAACTTTTCCCTGTACACCTTGGGTTGAGAAGGAGAACCGAAATCCAGTTTGGGAGTCTCGCTATTTTCACACATACCCCGATTTGTTTGGTTTAACTGTGCCTGCTTTGGTTTGGTCATGTAAGTGAGAAGGGAAGAGCCGGCAGGTAGGTGCACCAAACATGGAGTCTAGAGACACGTGGCCCAAAGCTTGAGTTGGATCAAGGTCAGTTTCGAGTGCATTTGCAAGCCCAAAATAGGGCGGTACGACTTTACAGGCAAGGAATAAAGCTTGGTGTGGATCAACTGGGGCAGGGCAAGCCCAAGCATTGGGTGCGGAGGGGGAGGGGCTCAGGTTTTCCTTTCATCACAAGCCCAATAAGAGTGCCTTGACGACAAGGGAGACCCGCATGAGTTTTGGAGGTATCGCGATGATATAATTGCCACAAGTATATGTTTTGCCTTACATTCTTGTCTTTTGTGAGGTACATCCCCCTAACTCGAAAAGCAGTAACTAAACACGCAGTTTTCCCAGGGGATTCCAGGCCCCTGTTCACAAGTTCACAAGTGTCTGTTTGGAGTGCTTTGTAGTGGGTTGTCAAGATTTATGGACCGCTTTTGTAGCCTCTCAGGGGCGTAAAACAACACTCATTTTGTTGAGAATCCCCCTGTTTCCTTATAGCGTCAAACACCGAAATTGAGGAGTGCTTTCTCCCATGGTTAATATAATATTATATATATATATATATGTATACGGGTGTGTCTTCTTTTGAGGGTACCCTGTTTGGTGGCCCCGAAAAAGCAAGACAGCCACATATGATTTCAGCACCTTGCTTTTCGGCCGTCGGGGCGAGGGAAGGTTTGAGGGAATTGGAACGTTGCAGAGTGAGTCCTTTGGGCTGGTGCCGAATCAGAAAGCAGTTTCTTCCCTGAACCAGTCCCTTGCATCCTTCAAGCGATGTGTCTGGTTGCAGGTTGGCCTCTTGGAAGAGGATTCACGGATGTTTAGAGCTGCACATCTAAAGGTCGTGTTTTGCTTTTTGCGTTTGGGGCAATTGATATCCACTGTTGCATTTGGTGCCAATGGAACTGTCCGTCGCACAAGTTAGAGAGACGAATTCGCGGAACGTATATGGCCGAACATGCAGCAGCTATGGGGAAGTCCAGTGCTATACCAAGTTGCTGGGGTTCAGACAATGCGTGTTTGATAAATCATGTCAACACAACACATTAGGTTTTCTTTGGGCGGATCAACTATAGTTGTGAGGAGCTTCCCGAACCATCGCTTCTTTTGGGAGAGAACACAATATGCTGAACCATCCATTGCCCAGGTCCCTTTGAGAATATTCTATCAATATATCGAATCAAGATAAGCAAGAGGAACACTGTCAACGCATCAACCATTTGCGGTGGTGCGCTCGCGACGACGGATAGGCTGAGTTTCCTAGCAGCCCCATTCGCACATTTAGGGGCGTCCTATTGGCGCCTAAAAGCAGTTATATAGTTGATGTCCACTTCGGGTTCCGTTTAGAAGCCTCGGATTTGGAGCGCCCCGATTTGTTTGGAGAAGCGTGCGGGCGATTTTGGGGATGCCGTGATCTTCCCCGAGAAGGTCTACGTGACATCAGTTGCCAGGTACAGCGACCCATGCAACTTGCACACTATAGACTCACTTCCTCCTGAGTTCATGAACTTTAAACACTTTTTGGGCTTGGACCATTTTAGTGGTAATTATAAAGTGTTCGAACTTTTTTTGGGCCATCCACTTAGCCAGTGAGTAGACATACGGGGTGTTGGATAGGGGTTCAGGAAAGAAGCACTTAGGTCTTCCTGGTGAGGAACAAGGGGATCTGATATATTGGTTCGTGGAGGCTACAACCAACAACCAATGCCGAAGGTTGAGAACATGGGTGTCAAAACTTGAGCCCGAGCGAGCAGTTTGCAGAAAGCCCAGGTTTTAAAGGGTTAGAAGCCTCCTGTGTACTCTGTCTCAAGGGATTGTACTGTGTGCAGCTGTATGCATTTATACATGATTACAAATAGATGTATGTAGTCAGTATGTGTGTATGCATTTGAGCGAATGCAACTAGTAGAGTTTTTGGGCTTCCAGTGTGGCAGCCTGGGATCCAAACGCGCGCCAGGAGGCGCAGAAGAGCCGCACCCAGCCCGGGGCCCAAGCGCAGGCTCGAAGAAAGTGCCCAGTGTAATTGGAAAGCCGGAAGGCATGGCCGCCTTGCCCCTGTGAGACAGTCATCGTTGTCCCGCGCGCAGACTGGCTCGGAGCCAAGAGCCAAAAGCAAGCCTGGAATTTTCACAGGCTTGTTTGGGAGCTGCGTGAGCGGAAGGCGCGCCACAACGAGCTGGAACCGCTCTCTCACAAGCAGCTGCAGAGAGCCCCATTCAAACCACTTTGTGACTTTGCGCTAGAAAGAGCAAAAGCATTGGCAGCTAGTGCAGTTGTGCGGATTTGCTTTTGCCTTGTATTCGTTTAATTTGCCATCAACCAATCCTCATCTGATGAGTCTTAAGAGTAGCGCCTGAGCCAAGTCCGCGTAGGCACTCCACGTAGGCTCCCATAGGCTTGCGCAGGCACCCTTCCGTGAGTTCGTATAGGCATGGCTTCGAGTGTATAGGCCCGACACACCCAAAAGAAGCTCGCCTTTGACTTCATGGACAGGTTCCTAGACTGCATGGACAGAATTCCCTATACAATGAGCAGATCATGTATCATTTTATTTTAGTAGTCCTTTGTGCTGAAGGGAGGACGAGAAGGGAGGGCAGAATCCCCATGTCGTTTTTCTAGAGGGCGGACTGTTCGAAGACGAAATCCCAATTCCAAAGGCACTGTTGTATTTTAATGGTTGTGTATGACGTGGTAACATGTGGAGGTTCCTTATAGCAGTTCCCTAGCTCGTATCTGGAGCCGGACCTGACCACACAGTGTGCCGAGAGAATCATATTCATGCACATGGAACTCTGAAACGGGATCCTGAAGTAAAAATAGTGTGTCACAGCCTTGGTCCCATAGAAAACTTCATGCATGGTCTTTTCTTCGGGGTGCAACGCCGCTTCAGCACTTCAACCAGGGATTCGCCAGCACGTTTCCGACAGAAAGCTTCTCCTCTGTGCTTAGAAACATCGCCTTTTGGGGGACAAGGGCCCGCTTTCGGGGGTTATGTTGTCAACTGGCATTAGGACAATGACAATGTGGGTGTGAATTTCAATGAGGGACCCTTTGGTGGACATCATTTCGGTGGTGATTTCTGTCCACCAATCACTTTTTAGGGGGTTCTCAATTAAAATTGATAGCCATGTCTCAAAACCATGGATGGTTGATGTCATGTTACTGATTGCTTTTTTTTGACAAGCCCGAATGGGTGCTAAGTGTGGACAAGAACGCACATGACCAGCAAAACAAAAACTGTGTGAAACACAAGTCAGATGAGGTATGGTCGTTGGATCAGCTTGGATTATGATGGCGCCGAAAAACAACATTGCAGGTGTTTTGTGGTCGCCAAGATCAATCACCATGCTCGATTCTCTTGTGAACCCTTTTGCAACCAGGACACTTTCAGTCCCAAAACCAGTGTGGTGTTATGCATCTCAGAACTGACACATGTCAAGTGTGAGTAGTATCTGCCGGTGTTCCTAAGAAACATGATTTCACTAGCAAGAAAATGCGGCTGGGTTGTCACTTCAAAGTTTCTCTTCCCGGAGTCTGGATCTTAACTCGGTCGCTGTGCAGGGTGCTTGTTCAGCATCAACCACGGTCCATATCCTACCCAAGCCAGCCAAGACGATGTCAATTTCCAGTTGACATGCTCACTGTGATTTACAGCCAGGATTTATTGAAGATATGATTGGTTATTTTGTGGACACCCCCTGTAGGATGTTTGACCTTTGGCACCTCCAGTAAACATGTTCAAACTATGGCCCAGACTCGTGGCGCGGGCGGCCCAATGTGACCAGAGCTTGCGTTTTGCACCCCAAGGTCCAGCGCGATGGCGTTGCAGACAGGTGCAGGCATGGCGGTTCGAGGCTCCAAGTTTGATTCAACTTTGCCTCTTTCTACTTGCCGGGGGGTCTAATGCATCATGTTTTCATTGGCCAACATTCTACTTTAATACTTGTCTGAATATGTCATCGCTCAATTTCCACTGCCTGAGGAACACGGGAAAAGGAATGTTGGGTCTCTCACAGGGCAAGCGAGTAGTCCTCGGTGGGCTTCAAATCCGCAAGTGTTGATTCCCAATAATTTCCCTCATCCAGTGCTTCTAGCTGCTACTTTCGTAGGTCACAAAAGGTAATCAGGTATGGCTATCTCTAACTCTATGGCCCCTGGTCCGGGTACCTATAGTGGTAGCTGGAAGCACTGCGTGTGAGTTGCCTTGTCGTTGGGAACGCAGACATTTTCTTCCGGACGAACCACCCCAATCGCCCGCCGAACCCGGATGTTTGTGACTTACAAAGCTTTAAGCCCTGCGCTTCTAGTTACCACTATAAGTAGGTAACCAGGGACCATGATCTGGTTACCTACTTGGTAGGACAACATGTATTATGAGCTCTTGGCTTGCCATTTGCACAACTCGGTTGATTTGTGTATACCATCGTGCATATTCAGAGGCCACACGCGACATGTTCACAGGGACACACCAATGCTGGCAATAGCCAGTCAATGCGCATTGCCAATGCAGGCACCAGTGAGTTGTCCCATTTTGTGTTTTTCTCCCAAAGGCAGTCCGACGTGAACACCCAAACAGTCTCGGGTGCCCTCAACAAGGAGGTAGGCATCAAAACATCGTTTCACGCGTGTATGGATGCAAACTACGGAAGCGTGGGCTATCACAGCGTTTGCAGTTGCAGTTGCGCGGCCTCAAGCTTTGACGTCCTAAACAGCTACCAGGGAGTTTTGATGATCAATTGGCACCTTAGTCCCTCCAAACGGCAAACGTTATCAGGTCCTTTGAATTATTTTGGCACCAATGTCTCTTTGGCCGCTATGCTCAAGGCCTTCAGTCTGTGAATGGATCTTGCGTGACCCAGCTTCCAATGGCTTCCTGCGGACTCCGAGTCAGTTCGAGTCTCGTGACGGGTGTGAGAGCCTTTGAGGTTCCTTACCTCCTTGCTTTAGTTTTCCGATTGGTGGAGAGAAATTCCAGGCGCCTACTCTCCAGTTTCCTCATGAGACTCTGATTTGAGGCAAGTGTACCCATCCTTCCTTGGAATGATTTGTCTTTCCGGGTTCTCAAAGAAGATGCCCGCTGGCGTTCAGCCGCCAGGCCCCGGAAGCGGTGCAAGCACTCCCGCCAACCCCCTGCCTGTCAGTGTGGGGAGCCCCAGCCCCCGATGGAAAATCCCCCTGCTCAGTTGCCCCTGCGAATCAAATGACGGTGGTGAACCTGTCGCTCCTGTCTGTTTAGGTGAACCTGTTGGTCTATTGATGAGCAGGAGTGGAGCGTAGATGAGGGATTGTGTTTGTTGGAGGTATCCGTTTCACCTTGGGTTACAGAGGAACCCACACGAAAACTAGCATGTTTGGGTCCCCTGTTTTGACAGATTCAGTTGCAGTGGACCGAGGTCTTGGCCAAAACCAGCACCGCAAATCCAAAGCAAATCTACCTCCCGAAGTGGTAGCTTAAAAGACAACAGAAACCTCAGTGGCTTCCACAGGGCACTTGACTAGCGCTACTCGTGGCGCCTTGCAGTAGATTTCGTCATTGAAACCGATTCAGCATTTGATGCATTTCAGACTCTGCATGATTTCTTGGATTTAACGCCATATAGGTTAGTAAGTAGCAGACCGGTCAGCAAGTCTTTGTTCTGTCTCACACACCTGAGATGTGACTGAACAAAGGGCCGTTCCACATGGTGATTCATGTAGATTGATGAGACATGTCCACGTCAGGCTCCCGAGAAAGACGCGATGCCACATATTCGCCTCACGTTGTCAAGCCAAGGTGAACCAACAGACCTAAATCACTGCTCCCGTCGAATTTCGCAAATCGCCTACATGCGCAGACAGGGCCTTTTGCGTTGTCAGACGACATAAGGCATCGGACACAGCATATAGTTTGTTTAATGACAAGACTGTGCAACTTGGTGAACAACTAATAGACTTAGTTTTTGTTGCTCCGTCTTCCAGTTGCAGGTGAGCCGGGCCGTTTCGATTGCTTTCCATAAGTCAGAAGGGCTGTCATGTTCAAGAGTCAAAGAAAGATCTAGCAAGACGTATTTCGAAGCCCAGGCACTCGGTGTAGCAAATGTACGGAATATGTATCTTTTTTATATGCTACAGCGGGGCGAAATTGATATGTGCTATGTGCAGAACATCTATCTAAGTTGGAATGCCGGGGATGTTTTTTGACCTCTGAGATACCATGGACCATTCAATTCGGTCGGGAAGGCAAATTATTGACTCGGCTATGCCACTTCCGGAGATCCTTGAAGAATAGGTACAACGTCCTCCAAACAAGCCAGGCATTACTAAAAATAAGATTACAAGAAAGCCATGCTATGTCATTCATATTATTGAAGTTCTGATTTTCTGGAGGTATAATCCCATTTCCTCATGAATATGATTATATTCTTATAAGGACTGATATGAATGTACTGGATATTCCAAAGATGAATGCAGATACTAGATAATAGACTCCTAGGCCTCACGTCACCTTTAGAAGCATTTGACACCTACTATGTCTACCCATCATGTCCATCACTTTGTTATGCCCCAGAAGCCATCCTAAAGCACTTTTAGCAATTTTCATCATTGGCTCCGGTAGCGTCCGCGTATTTGCACCTCGACTCATCGCGTTAAGTCGAAGACTCCGAGAAGATGCTGATCGCAGATGCCACTCAGCGTTTTTTGCTGCAAACTGACAGAAGACACCCAAAAGTGGGTCCCCCAAATGGGAAGCATTTTGCTGTTTCAAGGGTCACCAGTAGCTAGATTTCCTTAAGGCAATTGGTTTGCTTTGGGATTACCATTGATCCGTCGGTTGTGAGAATTCCTGGCTCGACAGTCAATTTGGCCCAACAGTTTTGCCAGGTGGCGTCCCCTACCAGCGCTCAAGGCGAGGATATTGTTTTTCCCGGCCCCGGAAACATTGCCCGACCCTTGGTTTGGGTTGCAGGATGTTTAACCGCAACGACTTCGAAGCCCAAGAAGTCATTTGTTGCACGGGGGTCCTTGGGTGTAATTGGTTATATTGCATCTAATGTGAGAACCGCGCTTCGACCCAGGGCAGAACTATTCTCTTGTTTGGGGAAATATCAAAGGCTACTGTTACAAACGCTCTGAGCTCCACAAGGGAGGGGCCAGTAGTTACCTGGCAGGAAAGAGTCAAGATTATGTCCCGTCTTCAGTCGTAAGACTTGAAGTTGCTTTGCGCAGGTGGTACATTTTAGGCTCGCGATTTAGCATGGCGGATCTCACACCCTTTTCCTTTGCAGTGTCCATCGAGTAGCCGTGGGTGTTGAAACAGCCCTTCCTCTACCAATGTTTGCTATCATGAGTTGTGTGGCCTGCCTAGTTCTCATTCTGGAGATGACAACAATGCATGAACAGGAGGTTCCTTTGTAGAAGAGCATGTTCAAGGTTAGTTTCTCAACGCCAACAATCACCGTGACACAACATAATGTGGCTTGCATGTATGCGCAGCTTTGCTTTCCGTTGCACTTGCCGGCATTTTTGTCGTGGACACTTCACAGTCACTTCCTGCCATATGCCCACAAAATTACAATTCTGAGTGCGGATGAATCGCGGAAGAGCATGCATACTCAACCCAGGATATGCGTGTGATGGTAAGGCCCAATAAATTCCACGCGCAGCAGGGAGCCTGTGTATGAGACTGTTGCGGTGTTTCGCCAAGAGCTTCCACCAAGCTTTTTTTCCTCCACTGGCTGTCTTGCGGGGATAGCACTCTGAGATTCAGAGGGCCGTTGGGTATTTATTGAGATAGGGGACTGATGGCATGAGCTTAGTTCGGGTTGCTAGGCTCCTAGGACCCCCAGCCGATTCCTTGGGTCCATGATTGGTAGCGGCACCCAACGGTTCATGCGGTTTTGAGTTGGCCCCCACTTTGGCAGCAACCATGCCCTTTCAAAGCAACTCGCTTCACAATGCTCTTGGAAGACTTTGCGAACAGAGTCGCGAAATCCCCCAGACTTTCAATTTCAGAGAATCCGGTTGAACTGAGTGCCAATCGTACACCATGAACATTGACAATGAAACCTGATACAACATGGATCTTCCAAACGGACACGCGTGTACAAATGAACGGTTTTGGTGGTGACGTTTTGTTGTTTGGGGGAGCACAGGTTGTTTGTGTTTTTTCACCCACGCGCAGCATACACCAAGGAAGCGAATCTTAACAAGTGGGTGTCTTTGTTTATCCATGCGTTTTTGCCTGGGGCCAACCTGTTTCAGCATTTTGAATTCCACAGGGTCCAACCAATTGAGACCCAAACTGCTTCTGACATTCCGAAAGGCCAGACATTTCAACGAGGGTGTCCTCCCTCCATTCCCTTTCTTGTACGTAACCTCCAAGAGTGGCAATTTCAATACGGACACTACCAGCAAGTTGCAACCTTTCACGGGGAACTCCAGAGACCCCTGACCATGGCTTAGCGTGTCTCGAGTTCCAGCGCACACGACGGCCAACTTGGCTTCGGGACAGTCGCTTTCTAAACTTCCCACATAGGACTCAGTCGCTTTCATGTCCCTAGAACTTTTGTATGTTGGTGGCTTGACCTGGTTTAATGTTGCTCATTAGTTGCCACAACCGCAATGTCATGCACAAGCGGGTGCATGTTAAGTGATATGCTTAAGCTCAAGCTTAGAAAGGTGGTGAATGCACTCCGGCCCCAAGAGTCATTTGGACATCCCTCAAAACATGTTCCCCTTAATGGGCCCAGGACAGAAAAGCATGCTTCAGGCAACCTGTGGTTTCCTTTGGCGAGGGCCCCTTTCGGCTGAGGGGTGAGGGGTCACCCGATGAGAGATGGGGCCCCTCGTTCAACCATGTTTGAACCAACGTTCAGTTTGGGTCATTCTACTCGACGGGGACCGTTTGTGTCGGCTGTTGAAACCAATGTTGCAACCAAGGCTGGTTCCGAATCTAGAGGCTAAATAACACATGTGTGTCCAAATACCCTAACTCCAAGATGTTTTTTTTTCTTTTTCTGTAGACTCCCTGTTTAAGCAAAGTAGCTCTGGCTGGCCGACAGGTGAGTCCACAAGAGCGCAGGGGGCTTGGGAGTCTTGAATCTGGTCAGCTGTTTGCCGTGTCGTGCAGCTTTCCATTCAGAAAGCTGAAAAAACTTTTCCATATCGAACATTGTTTGAGGTATTTATGCTGACAAGGGCTTCCAATACATGTCCTTCCCCTCAAAGCACTCCCATGATTTCACCTGCACCTGGCAACCCCGGGCCGAGGGCCCCATAGCTTGTGTCAACCCCTGCAGATCTTTTGGAGAGCCCAACTCCAGCCCTCAGGGGGTCCAGCTGTCTGATGGCGCCGCAATCAGACAGAGATAGGGAAGTGAAATGATTAGACGAAATTTGAACATCTCAGAGTTAATATAGCGGTTTTCAGGATGTAGAAGCATCTTGTTTGTTCCTTATGTCGTTCATAAGTTCTTCAGTTTAGAGAGCTGACATGATACCAACATGAATTGGATAGGGATATGATAGCCACTGCGAAAAGATAGCCAATAACATATGATCAATGATGAATGATGAATATATGTATATATATATATATATCGATATATATATATATATATGTATATATATATTAAATTGGAAAACAAAGTGATTAAGACACATAATGATCCTACTCTCTCTCTCTCTCTACTATTGGATCGGATAGTTTGTTGACAGGAAAGTCCCTCGCCTTCACAACTCTCCCTTTGACTCGTCTTCATACAGTGGGTCCATCCATCACACACACAGACATCGGATTCTTGTTCTTCATATTTCTCCCTTGAAGTCTTTGGGTGGGTTTGTGATAGACATACTATTCTTGGAGGGGTGTATTTTCGATTGGCGAATTATAGCAGTGTTGACCCCTGACTGTTGAAAGGGAGGCAGAGCATTTCTTCTGTCGGGCATTGCAAGTTCCGTTGCGAGGTTCACCTCCCGGCGCTTGTCCATGGACTTGCAGCCATCGCAGCTCGGGCAGGGCTGTTTGCCCGGGAGTGAGTGGGGTGTGGGACTGCGTTGTCTCAAGACGGGGACCTACTTACATTGGTTTTTGCAAAGGAAACGAGGAAAACATCCACCTGCGGACTGCTCCTCATTTCGGAAAACGCCGAAAATGAAAGGAACCCACTGCGAATCTGGGGCTGTCCCATGTTGGAGGAGCTTTCACTTGTTGGGAGACACCGCCTTGATTTGCCAGGTTGATGAATCAAATGTCAAGGACAAAAGAAACAAGTTGACTAGTTCCCATGTTCGGTTTGTAGGTCTGTTTGTCTGTCTGGGCTCTGTGCGGGCATTTGAAGGGCATGGCAGCCTACCAGGGCATAGGAATGTCTAATTTGTCCCATACCCCAAAGGAAGAAAGGTATCCTGCCAAGCCGTTCACACCTTATCTTCTCCCCATGCAGAGTACATACGTCAATATGGATTATTAATGTGTGGTTCAATTAGCAATGCTGATGCGTTTTCAGGGCCCGCAGAGAGTGTGCGAACCTGGAGGCTTAATCGGCCAAGGGCTGAGATAGGTCGTTTTGGTTGTCCTTGTTTCACCTTCGATTTTTCGCAAGTCTTGTACAGAGCCTTACAAAGGATCCAAACACCAAGGAAGGAGCCCTACAAACGCTTCGAGTTTGGAGGGGTGCAGGAGGTTTGACGCCTCTTCGTGCAGCTGCTTCTAATCACAAGAATTGGGCACGAGAACTGCGTTTGGGTTTCCTCTGGGTCTATACTGACTGGATCAAAGTCAACTGGTTAACTTGTTGGGAAGACGCAACTGGCGGTGAGCAAAGGTTGAACTTCTATGTTTAGGACATTTGGCTTAGTCAGAGGGGGACTTCGATCGGGCGTTCGTGTGCCGTTCCGAGTGGCACTGTGGCCTAAGGATTGCCGCTACCCGTGTATCTGCAGCAAACCAGGCGCAGCTGATGGCATTGACTGTGAAGCAATGTAGCGCAAAATGTCAAGCTGCCCACGGGCTGCCCAAGGTGCATGTGAAGTGTTCGGATGTGTTTGGCTGGGGCGTTTATTTTGGAAGTGGACTTTCTACACAATCAATTCCCTTCGGACTAGGGAAGTTTGCTTTGGGAGACAGAAGATCTGGGACTGGGCCGGCAGTTTTTTTCACAAATCCATGTTCATTTCCCCATTGGCCCATGTGCTACCCCTCCACCAGCTGGGAGGGCAAGAATTCAACCCTGGAAGTCTACATACATTTGGCGAGTCAAAAATCAGTGCCCGTCGAAAACTGTGGAAAGAAACCGGCGCAAACTGTCGCCTTCGAGCCTGCTCCAAGAAAGCGGCACCTGGTTTGGACAATTCCTCATTGGAACGATCGCGTCCTTTTCAACCACAACCTCAAATGAAACTTATTATGAGGGGAACATGGGGGGAGCTGCTAGTTTTCTCTTGGTTTTGTCCCATCGGTTGCATGTCGACCGCAACTTTAGGCTTGCGGGCGGTTTTTGGAGAGTTTGGTTTCTGCGAGTACCGCCTAGGCCTTTCCCCGGCCAGGAATTCGAAACAGATGTTTGGAATGCTGGAAAATGAGGGATGGGCAACGTCTTTTCTGTAGGCGCCCCTTAAGCAGCCATCCGAAAGAGTCTCCAATTTGATCACATCAAATCGAGTGCTTGTCATTTCGGGCTGGGTTCAACAGCAAAGCCAATTGAAGGTGTGTAGAGAGCCCCCGATTTTGATGCAACATGCTGCCTCGCTTTTTTGGCCGCTGATTTCTGGATGGTTGGGAAGCTCAGTTCAGCATGGAATCAAGGTGGATCCCATCTATTTCAAGCTGTGACGGCTTCTTAACGTGAGCTATGGTCAGTATTCATCTGCCACTGGCACGGACATGTGTTGAACCCCCATACTGTTATTGTATTTTGGATCGTGTTGCCCCATGACATCCCCATTCGCATAGACAGCGACGCTGACTATTTACTGTTGCTCATATCTGCTTGCTCATGAAATTCCACAACCCAGGCTGGAACAAAGCCAATTCAGGAAACAAAGTGATAGGTATCCAACAAAGCTCAATCACATTGGTCACGTCTCAGAGTCGTCTCAGGGTGTTTCTACGCGGATGCTCCAGGCCCAGAGATTTGCCCGCGCGGCGGAAGCTGGCAGAGACCTTGGTGCGGGCACTTGCAGACTCACCTAGGCTCAAAAAACCTCATGAATCACAGTGCTTCATAGTGCTTCCAGTTGCCTCAACAACAGACCAGGTATTGTTTCCTCTAGGTGTTGGTGTCGCCTGGTTACCTGCTATAGTGGTAACTGGTAGCACGAACGATGATGGCCTATCAGGCTAAGTTGCCGACAAAGACTAACATTTTGGGCGGCGGTGTGTGTGTGTGTGGCCTGTAGGGTCTCGAAAGAGCAAGACAACTCTGCTTGATGTTTGATGTTGTTTCTTTACTTGGGCGCCGCATCGATACGATATTGACTGCAACAGCCACATGTTCCAAGGCTTGAGGTGCCGAATGGATCCTGTTTATAGTTGGCAAACTCGCCATCCTTAGAAACTTACACCCTGATTATCTAACACAATTGTTCGAGCATCTACAGTAAGCATCAAGATCCCAGGATTCATAAGTGGTATTGCAGACTTCTGGCGAAACTTTGGGCCTTGGAGACTCCCGGCAAAGACTGTCCAAACTGCCTGCTAGCAGATTGATGACTAGACCTTGCAAGCCCGGGCAACCAAATTTTGTATTGACGAGGTTCTCGAAGCGAGCAAGCACGCTTATCTTCTGCAAGCTTGACTCATGCTGCACAAATCAAGATGAGCCCTGCAGGGTTTTCAGCCTGCGTCTTCAGACGCCATGATGGCTCCCGAGGCTCAGCCACTTTTGGCGTGCCTGTGAATAGAGTTTGCACAGATCACTGCTTACTTGATCTTCGACCCCAAGTGCTTCACTGTGTAGATATGCTTTCGACGATAATAATTCGTTTTTCAGACACGCCTAGCCATGACGAATTGAGGAAAGGTTACCTGTTCAACCGCCTACGTGCTTTTGTGGTGCTCAGGGGGTGTATTCAGCATGTTAGACCCTCACGGCGAGTTCCTGCATCTTTGTTGTCAAGGGATCCCTTTGTTTCCTCTTGGGGCTTTGCAGGCCAGGGTTCCACTTTTTGACTCCAGACTCAAACCCAGGGCTTCTCCTTTTGGGGGGAATGAACCACCCCGTTTCAGTGTGGGGTGTTCAGAAAGTAGAACCCTAGGCAAAATCAGGCAACCGCGTTGCTCCTGAGGGGAGCGTGGCAGTGCGAGTCGGCCCTCGAGCGCCTTTCAAAGGCACAAGGCCATGAGAGGGCCAACCAATCAATGAGTGAATGCATCAACGAATGCATGTTTGATTGATTGATTGATTGATTGATTGATTGATTGATTGATTGATTGATAGATTGATGGATTGACTGATTGATTGATTGATTGATTGATTGATTGATTGATTGATTGATTGATTGATTGATTGTTTGATTACCTGCTTCCGTTCTTGCTCTGTGTCTCTGTCTCTCTCTCTCTCTCTCTCTCTTCGTCTGTTTGCTGATTGCTTGCTTGCTCGCTCGCTTGATTGTGTCATGAGGTGTGCATCTAGATGCCTTTGCTCGTGTGTGTGTGTGTGTGCTCTCGTTGGTTGGCCTGTTTGTGTGCTTGCAGTGTGTCCTGTGTTGGTTTAGCATGCTTTTGGCTTTTTATTGGTGTGGTTGCTTGGGCTTGCACGTGTTTGTAGCTTTTCTTGACTGTTTTCCATTGGTTGTTTGTCTCTCAAGTCTTCCTTTTCCGTGTGTGTGTGTGCGCATGCTCACCGACCAAGCGAGCTCATGACGGTACTGTACATGTGGACTGCGTATCTCAGGTTTTGGATTGATGCAACATGCGCAGATGAGCCCTTTGACCTCGCTGCAACTTGGCTTCAGGAGCAGATGAACTCCCGGAGGGTGGTGGTGGCAGCGCCGCAGGCCGGACATGTGGCAAACAGAGCACCAATGCCAGAGGCAAACATGGGTTTGCGGAGCGCATTCGCAAAGTCAAGTGCAGATTTCGTGGCCAGCGCGGTCAAAGACATAATTCGTGGTATGCGCAGCACATTCGCGCCATGCACAGACTTGGTGCAGACGCAGCGCGTTCGCAAGGTCATGTGCAGATTTCGTGGCAGGGGCTTTCGCACGGTCATGCGCAGATTGAATGGCAAGCAAGTACTTTCGCAAGGCCAAGTGATCAAGTGCTCCTTTCGTGACAGGCGCAGCACTTGCGCAAGATCGATGAATAGCTAGATAGGTTGACAGGGAGATAGATATGTAGATGAATAGAAAGGTAGATCCAGAGATGGATGAGATAGATTATGTCGATAGATACATAGATACATAGACAAGATAAACAGGCAGATATGAGTTTGATCGATTCGGCAGATGAGGTTCGATGAGATTAAATGGATAGAGAGACAGTTAAGGTAGGTAGGAATGGTAGATAGATAGATAGATAGATAGATAGATAGATAGATAGATAGATCGGATAGATGAGTAGACCGATAGGTAGACAGACAGGTAGATGCAAGAGACAGGGCGAGAAACAAGCTAGATAGACAGTTGGATAGGTACATCGAGAGAACAGGTAGAGCGGATAAACAAATACAACGATGGCTGGATGGATAGGTCGGTTCATAGGTTGGTCGCTAGACTGCTAGATAGACCGTTTGACCGATGGATAGGTAGGTGGATAGAGAGAGCTAGGTAGGTAGACAGAGAGCTAGATAGTTAAATAAATCGTTAGAAAGGTAGGCAGACAGAGATCCAGAGCAGCTAGACAGTTTGATAGGTCGATTGGCAGATAGACAGATAGACAGATATAGTAGGTTGACAGGGGAATAGATTGCTGGACAGATGGATGGATAGAGGGATGGGTGGGTAGATGGGTGGGTGGGTAGATGATGGCTGGCTGGATGGATGGATGGATGGATGGATGGTTGGATGGATGGATGGATGGATGGATGGATGGATGGATGGATGGATGGATGGATGGATGGATGGATGGATGGATGGAGAGAGATAGCTATGGAATAGATAAACAGGTATATAAATAGATGGATGCAGAGAAAAAGAAGGAAGGAAAGAAATGGCAAAAGAAAAACGCAAGGGAAAAACGCAATCAGAGATAATATGCAAGCCAAAAATATGGAAAAAAGGAAAGCGGGAAATGCTAAAAGAAAAGGCACAGTGAAAGAAATTAACAAAGAAAGACGGGAAACAAATGAACGATCACAAACAGTCCGCCCACCGGCTTCGCCCGCTCTGCTGGTTTGAGCCTGCTGAGGCGTAGCTGCGATTCCCCAGCGAATGTGCACCAAGCTACCTTGTTACGGAACAGCTGTGCCCTCACGTGATGTGTCTCCACGGCCGTGCGGGTTGTCCACGTTCAGTTTGCTACTTCAGGGGTACACAAGCCGACCCATGGTGTGGGATTCGGTTTGGGCCCATCATTTTAGGTGGCGGTTACTGGTGGCAACGGTGTCTCTCCGGCTTGCCTTGCGGGTTGTTTTTGGGAATGTCTTTCTTATGGTCCTTTCAAAAGAGGAATAACTACCCATTTCTGACCCCTAGGCCCTAGGAACCGTCAATGGGTTGCCATCCTGATGCCCAAAAACAGCGCAGGGGCTCTGCAGCGTTGTATTTCCTCAAGGCCCACCATCAAACACTTTTTTGTGGTCGATATGTTTGTATTTATTTGTCAGGAGGGGCCCGAGCAGATCCTGGCACACGGAGCTGTTAATCTTGGAAACATATTGAGCACATGTACCAAACCTTTTGGTTTCTGGCGGCTGCACTGCTATCCCTTGTATTTGGTGATTATCTTTCGTGGACTTCGGAGGGTCGACCAGACCTAACATCTGGAAAAACATGTTGGCGCTCCGCCTCGCCGGCGTGAGCCAGGGTGCTTCTGCGAGCCACTGCCACGGAGATGACGGTTTTCGACTTTATATAAGTCTCCCATGGGTAGGAGGCTATGGGGCTGCTTTTTTTGGGGGGGAGCCCTCCGAAGGGTGGTTTCCCCTGTGCAAAAGAGGGTTAAAGACAAACCCATGTGCCCAGTGCGGTCCCTTCCTTGAGGGGTCAAAAGGCGACTCCCGGCCTCACGTACCAAAGGGAATCGACCAGATGTGGCGCAAAGGCCTTGCTCCGTGACTCGCATCAACAGTGTAGCCTTGTGATATTTGAAGGGGGGGTTTCGACAAGTGAATAAGTGGATGATGTGAGAATTGGCTCAAGACACTTCGAGAGCTGGATCAAGAGGAGCCATAGGAAGCCAGGCAGAATCTGCTTTGAATGGTTTTGGGATTTGGAGACATCGCCCCTTTGGGTGAACCTACGCCACAACGTCTGGCTTTTTTCCTGGATTCTTGCCCACAGTTGAGTTTTAGGGTCCGCAGAATCCATCAAGGTGGACATAGGGTAATCGGAAACTTGTATTTGTTTAGTTGCTGCGGACCCTCAGTCTTTGACTGCGGAGCCAGCTGGACCGTTTGTGTTGTGTACACAGATCGGGTCTTTATATGTAGTCGATATGTTTGTGAACTTGTCTTTGGAGCAGCTGTTGCAGTCGAATCCAGTGTCTTAAGGGGTTGGAGCTGAGCTGCACAAATCCGATTCGATTTGGACACCTTTGGTTTGTTTGTGAATACAACTCTTGACAGACTTGATGTCATTGTCATACTTAAAATATGCCGTCGTTGGATCAGATGAATCAAACAAGACCTACAAACTAGCTTCAGTTTCAGCATGCTTTGGACCCTTTCTCATCGAATTGGTCTCTAAACCTGCACCAGGTCAATGGGGATGGTCATCAGCCATTCTTCGAGAAAGCATTTAGACTACCACTACAACAAGTCTTCTACATGTGGGCAGACATCGGCTATTTTGCACAAACGGCGCTACCATGACACGCATCATGGCGACCCTCCCGAAAGTTTGCTGAACTGAGGCCAGATGGCTCGCATGTTCTCGCCGAGGAGCCAATTTGCTTTAACTTGCTGCCTCAAGATGTTCGTGGTTTTCCCCTGGTTTTAAGGGAATCTATTACTACTGTCACCCAACAACTGCGTTTTCCCACGTCCAAAATCCCGAAAAGCCGTGGTTGGGGGTTGCTACCGGACACTTTTTTGTCCAGGGGACGTATGCGATTCATGGGATCCCTGTCTGCAGTGGACTCATCCAGTTTCTCTTCATTTGTTTCGCTTCGCGCGCTAAAGAAATAGAGAAAGACACCAAAGAGGCCAATCCCTGAGCACATCCAGCACTAGCAGTGCTTGTACTTCTACTTCACGAGCCGGAGATGGTTGCTCTAGGCCGCAGGTCTCATTTGATAGCTGTGAGGGTTCAGATTAGCCTCGGCTTCCTCGGCTCTTGACATTGCCGGCTGTGCCTTTACAAGATAATCCCACGTACCGAAGATGCCCGATCATGTACCCATGAAAGATATATGGCAAAGTCTGAACAACTGGTACGTGACTTGTTGGCATGTTCAGAAGGCACTCTGTAAGGAGCTTGGCTTGCGGGTGTGTGTTTCTGTGTTTGTGTGTTTGCTGAAACACCCCAGTGGCAAGTTCCCTCGAAAAAGGCCACCGTGGACAAATTGAGTTGTCATGTTTCAGCACCGCTGGGACCGGGGAGGGCCAAGTTGGTGGGGTCAACAGTTCTCCTTTTTCTTTCAGGGTTTCCCGCACAAAACTCACCAAACAAAAGCCGCAATCCGCTACAATAATGTGTGTTTCCCCTTCAGCTACGACTCAAGTTGAGGGCAACCGCTGTATTGTGTGTTGCAGTTCAAGGTTGGGCAGAGGCTCGCAGATATCTTCCGTTTGCTTAAGAATAGGTTTAACCCTTCGCTTTGGAAGGTAATCTATCGCTGCACATAGTTCTTCGTGTTATCAGCAAATATATGGCTGATCGTGGAGGAGGTCCTTTGCTCTTCTATTGTTTAGAAGCTTCTTTGTCGCCCATATTGAACCTGCAAAAGCCTCGAATTCTATGGGGAAGTCTTCTGGGAATCCCTTGGGCGCCCAATTTGAGTGCTCTTGGGATTCCTTTCTGATCAGATGGCCCACAAGCACCAAGCAGCTTGTGTTTTCCGGACTTGAGAAATGACTGGGGGCTCCCTCGGGACTCCCACGTTGGGACTTCAGCCTCAGGAGCCGGCAACTGCAAAGCGGCACACGCTCGGTGGCCGCTTGCCGAAGAACTTGTCCAGGGGGCACGAAAGGGAACGGGGGCAACGACAGCCAAACAATGCCTTATTTGTATATAGAATTGGTAGTCGTGCGCCATTTTCTTCTAACGCCAAACGACAATTACACACCTGCAGCACATGAGGCCTAGTACAGTAGAGCTTCCGCTAGTCCTGTTGTGGATGGTCCATAGGGGAGCTGTGACAAGCCTTATTTGTTCAAGGGTAGGTGTTGGTGTGTCAGTTCGACTATGCAAGCCAAGTGAAGACTCCTTTTTCTTGGGCTCCGATCAAAGTTTCCATCGGCCCGTTCGCCACACAAAGTAGCACCTCTCAGTTCCGCGACGCCGCGGTGTGGACTGCTTGCGCATCCAGGCCAGTTGCGCTGCTTTGAGGGAGCCGAACCAGGCGCGACAAGCTTTTGTAACATGTCGATGCTTTGACCCCCTCAAAATGTTTGGCAATGTGCCTGAAGAAATTGCATCATGACCGCTTGTATAAGGGATCTTGTATGTACGCTCCAGGTATGGTGATTCCCCTGTGACTGCGTTGAATGCTTCTTGATGTTATGTTGTTTTATGCTGCTTTGTTTGTTTCTTGTGTTCCGCTTTCACGGCTACTGTTGGTGAACCTGTCTCGTTTGATCCTTCCAGTGTTGCTTGTCTAAGCTGAACTTTGTGCGTCTGAAAGCTTTTGCTACAGCCCAGTGCAGCGTGAATTCCCGCGCATGTGTCGGTTGATGTGGCGTTGCCTTGAGCTTTGAGCAGGGTTGCCAGGAATGAGGGACTCCGAGTCGTATTCGACATGAAAACCAGCAACGCTATGGCTGTGGGTCAAAAATACGTAGCAAATGGAGCCCTGGTAAGTGGAAAGCACTAAAACGTGCGATCCCCTGGTTTAATTTTGACCCATACCCATGGAATCATTTCCAGCCCTTCTGTATGGCGAACTCCGTGAGCTGAGTGATAGCGCCATAGTGCTAAACGTGGATGCGACTCCATATCCTCCCTCCATTCATGGAAGCTGCCAGGAAGTTGTGGGAAGACTCTCCTTTCAAAGGAGAGTCTTCCATGAGTCGTTGGAAGGAGAGTGTATGACGCCTGCAGGGCACTTTGTTTTCTGCCCGAACGGCCTTGAAGCTTGCGCTCAACCGGCTTGCTTCCTTTTGCTAAAGCCAACATTGTAACATTCCCTGGGCAGAGCCAAGGCGGGTTGTTTTTCCCCGAAAGCATTGCGCGGGGTTCTTCCGGACGAACCGCTGCCAAACTCGCCCCAGCGCGCCTTGCGCGAGCAAACTCGCCTGAGCGCACTTGCACGATGCGCCAGACAAGTTGCACGAGATTAACCTTAAAGTTTGCTCCGTGTCGTAGATGGACTCCATCTCGTGCACGGAAGCAAAGACCCATTTTGACGCCATATGCCGCGCTCGCATGTCATGCCTTCGGGCCGCAGGGTTCTTCGAGTTTTTGCAGCTACCCCTGGGGTCGCTTTACGAAGCCAAGAACCGCCTTCGAGTCCAGGCCTCCGCGGCCGCGCCCCCAGCCCCCAGCCAGGCGCCTTTGTGGCGCGTCGCTCGTTTGGGTCGCGAGCCTTATGGTCCCCGGTCCAACGATTTGTCGCAGGAATGGGAATTTGGCGAGGGATCTGGCTCGATTTCTTGCGAGCTCACTCGAAATCTTACGACACCCAAGCGGGGGCTAAGTTCTGGTTTGTTTCGCGCGTAGGGAGAGGGATTTAGTGCCATGCTCAAGCAGCCTGCTTGCCTGGGATAGAACGAGTTGGCTTAGACAACCAGCGGAAGGGTTCGTGGCGGATTCTTGCCCATAGCGCAGTTGGAAGTTGCTCAGGTCCATCATGTTTGCCTTGGGGAAAGGCGGTCCCAAAAGGCGCCCAAGGCAACCTGACACGTCGAGATTTGGAGGATTGAACGAATCCGGTTCCTGCCCGCGCGCAAGTAACAACTGTGAGTCTGAGCACCTTCGCAGAGAAAATATCGGCAATCACTCTTCGGATGTATTGCATCCACTTTGCCGACGGACGTTTGTAGAAGGATAAAGGAGAGGCTCAGCAAGAAATAAGTCCACTGAGGTACCCACTTCTTCCTACTTACAGTTGTTGCTTGGATGTGCCAAAACTGGTGCGCAACCATTGGGGACTGGAGGGGGAAGCCAGTGACATCCGCAAGCGGATGCGGTGTCGCCATCCATTTCGATCATTTGAGCAGAGAGGACAGGCCATGGCTCACACATTTCCAGCACCTTTTATGCTGAAGCCGAACATCAAGCGCTTGCGTAAGCTCCAAGTGGACAATTGTTCGACGCAAATGATAAAACTTGTCCCGGCGTTGCCTGCCTGCCTGCCTTCCTTTTGCAAGTCCGAATATATTTCAACAGGCCGTGCGGATGAAAGAGAGGAATCCGAATTGTAGTACCTGTTAATGTTTCACGACAAGTTGGACTCCTTAATCATTATTAGTGGTGGTGGCATGTTGCTTTGCTTTCAGTGTGGCCCGACGATGGATCCAACCTGCTTCGAATGCTCTTGAGTTGGCAACGCGAAATAAGTGCTATGTGTTGTTCATCATTGAAGGGGGTTAGCAATTTGCTTCACATTTTGCTGGCCCACTCAAGTCGGTTGAAGAGCTCGGGGTTTCTTGGGTCCAATTCCCCCCTCCGCCAGGCCGACTTGCAGGCCCAGAGAGCGAGAGAGCGATGAGATAGCCGCAGACTTGCTGTCCTTGGGCATGGGTCAAACACTGCTAGGTCCCCCAGTAGTGCCCTTTACCCTTTTTTGGGGGAGGGTTCCCCTACTAAAATAGACTACAGAAAAAGGGCACCCTTATTCTAACCTCTCTACTGGAGGACCTAGACGGCTAATTTTAGCATTGTCCTTGCTCCACGGAATTGGAAGAGATAGCAGGTCACTTGGACACGAGTCAAAGATGGCAGGTTCGTCTATTTTGTGACCAGTTGGTTCCCTGAATGACAATCAAGAATCGCTTGGCAACTGAATACGCATAGGATGAGCTTCCTCACCGTCAGCCATTCAAAACGACCCAAAATTCCATCGTTGACCACCCCAGTTGCGCAGCAAGCCTTGCCAAAAACAGGTTGTTTCCCTGTCGTGTCCCTTCAAACCAGCCTGAAGTGGGGAACCTCCAAACATCCAAGCCCGTCAACATACACAGACATACGCACACATATTCATATACACACATGCTCATATATATATATATATACGCAACCCGCCCCCCTCATGGAACCTGGTTGTAGCGCCTTGGAGATGATCAATCTAGAGTCTAGAGAGTTAATCCTCGAAATGTCCAGTTTTGGGTTCCCAAAGCCTCGCATTTGTTTGTTTAAGAGAGTCCCCTGAAATGTCCCAATTGATATCCTGTCCAAATAGGATTTTACTTGAAATAGATCTGGACTTGTGAATAATATGTAGAAAGGATATAGGTATCCAAATTTGTTTTATGTTCATCGAGAATTTATATAAGCAAATCCTTTCCAAATAGGAGTTAAACTATGATGTAAATAAAAGGTCGGGCAAAATTCGACTAGTCGTTAATAATACATTTTGAAGATGAATTGATTCCCACATATAGTTTCAGTTTTCAATTTAATCTATGCACATAGTTCAATTGTTTCTTGATAACAACAATTAAATAGACTTACAACATATAAAGAACTCGAAATATAACCTACATTAATATGGCTAAACATTTCAGGGACTGGAAAGGGACTTGTGTTGTTTGCATTTTGTGGCCCCCTTTGTAGCATAAGAAAGGTCCGAGATTAAACTTGATATCCAAAGTCGAAATTTCAGGGGATTGGAGGTTCAGACTCCAAAACTATCTCGAAACAGGGATTCTAGGTAAATCAGTTGTATTTCAAGTCTTACTTGGACAGGAATCCATAATTCATTCTATCTCAAAAGGCGGAGGTACTAGATGAGCAGATGTGGACAGGTAGTTCTGGGGGGGGGGATGGTGTGTGAACATGCATACATACATATATGTGCATATACACATCCACATATAGTACCTGCGCCTCTTCGCATTACACCTATGTGTGTTTGCTTTTTGGAAAAGGGGTCAACATGAGCATAGCTTACATGAAGCAAAAACACAACAAAAGCACTTGAAGGTGTGTCTAGGAACTTGAAAGTGGTTTCACTGGATCGCTAAGCACTTAAGAGTATGATACCATTGGATTGAAGATTCAAGGCTGAAGATTGCACAGAGCACTTTCCTGAGAAGCGTCAATCCTGGCCAAACTCAAACAACATTCAAGTTCTTCTAAACACTTGAAAGTGCTTTACCACTGGATTGAAGATTGCACAGAAAACTTCCCTGAAAATCGTTCACCCTGGCCAAGCAAACTTTCAAGTTGCTCTAAAACCTCAAACGTATTGTACTGGATTGAAGATTCAACATTGAAATCTTGGAAGGTTTCCGAGAATTTGCCCTCGCTCGAAGGGTAGGTTACAGGCATGGGACTGCAGACGGTGTTGCATACTGAAGGGTTGCAGAAGTATGTAATGGAAACCTGGAGTATTGGATAACACTTTCAGTTTCAAACACTTTTAGATATTCTGGAATTCAAGAATCAAGATTCCCAGAATTTTCTCAGATTCTTGAATCTTGAATCCGACATGTTTTTTTGCACAAAAACACTGTTGTCCCACTACTCTGAGATGCATGCAGACTCTGTCAGACGACAGATATTGATATCATTGCTTATGCTACATATGTATGTAAGTATGTTTATATGCATATGGCACCCCATCCCTCCCAATTTTGCCACAAAATCAACAAGTCCAAAAAGGCACCAAACAGTGAAAAACACAGCTCAAACTCACCAAGCCAGGGTCCATGGCGGGGTATATGTATATATATATACACATGCCCATACATACATACATACATGCATGCATGCATGCCTGCATGCATGCATACATACATACATACGTACGCACATACGCACATACATACATACATACATACATACATACATACATACATACATACATACATGCATGCATACATACATACATACATACATACATACACACATGCAAACATACATGTATACATACATACGTACAATACCTACATATAGACATACATACACACATACTTAGGTGCATACATACGCACATATATATATATACACACATACATACATACATGCATGCATGCATGCATGCTTGCATACATACGTACATACGTACATTCATACATACATACAGACATACAGACATACATACAGACACATACATACATACATACGTACGTACATACATACATACACACGTAAGTACATATGTGCACGCATACGTGCAAGCGCACGTGCATGCAATCATGCATGCACTCATACATGAATACATGCATGCATCGACACATACACATACACATATACGTGCACATGTTGTTTTTTGTTTTTTTTAATACATAAACTATATATGCATACCTAGATGCATATATATATACATAATTGCAAACACCCACACACATACATAGAAACATACATACATACATACATACATACATACATACATACATACATACATATACATACATACATACATACATACACACATACTTACATACTTACATACTTACACACTTACATACTTACATACTTAAATACTTACATGCATACATGCATGCATGCATGTAGACACACATACATACATACATACATACATACATACATACATACATACATACCTCTGCGCGTTTTAGAACGAGCCCAGCCGAGCTCACTACATTTTGTTGTGAAATAACGAGGTGGGCAACGAGGCGATTAAGAGAACTAACGAGGTCAGCAACGAGGTGATTTAGTAGAAATAAAGGAGTGCCCAGTATTTTGGTGGGGTTGCCTTTGATCTCTTCCAAAAGCAATTACCTGGCCCGACAAGTTGTTTTTAGGACTTCATTTTTTGCCCTGGAAACGTTGCCCCGGGCTTGGACAAGCAACTTTTCGAGCGGAATCAGTCTTTCCTTACACCCCATCACTTGTGTTGAAACCTTAAAAAGTTCGAGATTGAAAATTATCTTTTCGAGCCCCGAAAAGTTGATTTTGGGACTTCACGTGTTTGGCCTTGGAGCGAGCCCTGGAAATACAACTGCTTGAGCCACAAGAATTGTTTTTGGAATCACATTTTTTGGGCGGTATTTATCCAGAAAGCTAAAATATGCCAGAACCCCCTTAGATTGGCAAGAGGCCATGGTATAGTGGTTGGCATCATGCCCCTCAGCGGGCAGGACATAAATTTATGCAGGTTGGATTCTTGGTGCGCGGCCCTTTGTTTAGGGCTGCTTCTGCTCAAGCTTTCGGAGATACAAAATCAACTTGTCCAGCCCCGAAAAGTTGTTTTTGGGACTTCAATTCTTTTGCCCTTGGAACGGCTTAGGCTTGGATAAACAGCTTTTCGAGCCGGAATGAAACTCATTGAATCTTTCCTTACACCCCATCACTCGAGACTGAAAACCATTTTTTCGAGCCCCGCAAAAATTGTTTTCGCCTTTCTTTATACACCAAAAAGCTTGCGGCTAGAAATCAACTTTTAAAACCCCGAAAAGTTGCTTTTGGAACTTGATTGTTTGACGCTTTTGGAACGCTTCGAACCCCCGGCCAGGCTACGTCCGCGCTGAGGGTGTTTTCCTTTCCCTTATGCTGCGTTGTTGTAAGGCTAGAGAAGCTAGGTCCTAATTCCAAAGCAGACATTTAGCGAGGCGAGGCGAGACGAGGTACTAAAACCCAAGGCAGATGTAACGAGGCGAGGCACTAAACCTGCAAAAAGATTTAAGAAACGAGGTGACGAGGTAAGAATTATTATAAAACGCCCAGATACATACATAGATACGCACATACATACAAACATACACGCATACACGCATTCGTACATACGCACATACGTACATACGTACATGCATACATACATACATACATGTAGATGTATACATACATATATACATACATACATACATACATACATACATACATACGTACGTACGTACGTACGTACGTACGTACGTACGTACGTACGTACGCGTACGTACGTACGTACGTACATACATACATACATACATACATACATACATACCTATACATACATACATACATACATACATACATACATACATACATACATACATACATACATACATACATACATACATACATACATACATACATACATACATACATACATACATACATACATACATACATCAGACATACATACATACACACACACACACATCGGGCTACGTTTTAAACAGTTTTTTCCCCTACACGGATTGGTTTCTAAAACTATGAGTTAAATCTAATTAAATGATGTCGGATTCGGCTGTTTTTTGTCTAACCTGGTCTATTGGGTTTCCAAAAGCAGGATCTTGTTAGGTCGCTTCCCCTTCTTCGGCAAAATAAGCTCTCTCTTCTCCGCCTGTCTTTTGTTGTCCGTGTTCGTGGCGGGTGTTTGCTTCTGTTGTCGGCGCAATGCCGATTGGCATGAGGAGGTGTAGACTATGTGCCACCCCAACACACACACATACATACGCACATACAGACTAGTACAGACACACATACCTACCTACCTACCTACATACCTACGTACCTTCCTTCGTACCTCCTACCCACCTACCTACACATACATGCATACAGGCATGTGTGCATGCATACATACAAACACACATACATATTCATACATACTCATACATACTCATACATACCTACCTACCTACATACATACATACACATACACATATACATACACATACACATACACATACACATACACATTCATATACATATGAGCCACGGACAAAACACACGAAGACCACTTTATCAAGGCGGGGTACATTTTTGCATAACACATGCCAAAACCATGGAAAACGATAGGGTCTCCCCCAAAAACGATAACCCTTAGCTAACACACGGCTCTATACTAACCCCTGCAGTTGCAACTTAGCTCGGGTGGGACCCTTGCCGTAAAACGAGAAGGCGAGTCGCCACTTTCGAGCTGGAGCTGCCAAGGTGTGCTTTGTAAATACGACACTTGTACTGAGAAGTTGCGATTTTCGAGCTGGAGCTGCGGAAGTGTACTTCGCGTACTAGACTTGTACTACAAAGTTTCGATTTTCGAGCTGGAAATGCGGAAGTGTACTTCTCGTACTAGACTTGTATTACAAAGTTGCGATTTTCGAGCTGCAGATGCAGAAGTGTAATTTTCTTACTAGACTTGTACTACAAAGTTGCGATTTTCTCGCTGGAGATTCGGAAGTGTACTTCGCGTTCTAGACTTGTACTACAAAGTTTCGATTTTCGAGCTGGAGCTGCGGAAGTGTACTTCGCGTACTACACTTGTACTACCAACTTGCGATTTTCGAGATGCACAAGTGTACTTCGCGTACTAGACTTGTACTACCAACTTGCGATTTTCGAGATGCACAAGTGTACTTTGCGTACTAGACTTGTACTACAAAGTTTCGATTTTCGAGCTGGAGCTGCGGAAGTGTACTTCGCGTACTAGACTTGTACTACAAAGTTCCGATTTTCGAGCTTGAGCTGCGGAAGTATACTTCGCGTACTAGACTTGTACTACAAAGTTGCGATTTTCGAGCTGGAGCTGCGGAAGTGTACTTCTCGTACTAGACTTGTACTACAAAGTTTCGATTTTCGAGCTGGAGATGCGGAAGTGTACTTCTCGTACTAGACTTGTACTACAAAGTTGCGATTTTCGAGCTGCAGATGCAGAAGTGTACTTCGCGTACTAGGATTGCACTACAACGTTGCGATTTTCGAGCTGGAGCGCTGGGGAAGTGTACTTCCCGTACTAGACTTGTACTACAAAGTTGCGATTTTCGAGCTGGAGCTGCGGGAAGTTTACTTCGCGTACTAGACTTGTACTACAAAGTTGCGACTCGAGCTGGAGCTGCGAAAGTGCACTTCGTGCACTAGACTTGTACTACAAAGTTGCGACTCTCGAGCTGGAGCTGCGGAAGTGCACTTCGTGCACTAGGCTTGTACTACAATACGAAGTTGCGATTTTCGAGCTGGAGCTGCGGAAGTGTACTTCGCGCGCTAGACTTGTACTACAAAGTTGCGATTTTCGAGCTGGAGATGCGGAAGTGTACTTCGCTTACTAGACTTGTACTACAAAGCTGCGATTTTCGAGCTGGAGCTGCGGAAGTGCACTTTGTACTACAAAGTTGCGATTTTCGAGCTGGAGCTGCGGAAGTGTACTTCGCGTACTAGACTTGTACTACAAAGTTGCGATTTTCGAGCTGGAGATGCAGAAGTGTATTTCGTGTACTAGACTTGTACTACAAAGTTGCGATTTTCGAGCTGGAGATGCGGAAGTGTACTTCGTGTACTAGACTTGTACCACAAAGACGCGGTTTTCGAGCCGGATCTGCCAAATTTCGAAAACACTGTAAAACGATAAGGTCTCCCCCAAAAACGATAACGTTCAAACAAGTACTAGGGCCAAGTAAAGTGTTTCGTCCGCTGCTCATATGCATATACATATACATATACATATACATATACATATACATATACAAACATACATACATACATATCATACATACATACATACATACATACATACATACATACATACATACATACCTATGCATACATATGCATACATACATGCCTGCATGCATGCATGCATGCATGCATGCATGCATGCATGCATGCATACATACGTACATACACACATACATATGTATAAAGGGACAATAACACACACGCTTGCACATACACTTACATACACATTCATACATGTACATATACACAGACAGACGCACATCACTGCGCACACACATACAAACATACATATGTCTTGAGAGACATCAACAGGTACGCGCACATATGCACATTCACATATACAGACCGACACACACATCAACGCATACATACATACATACATACGTACTTACGTACGTACGTACATACAGGTATGCATGCGCGCATATGCACACACAAACACACGCACGTACGCGCCCACACGCACACACCCACACACACATGCATGCACACATACGTAAACACACTGCACTGCAGGACACTGCACTACACTTCACTGCACTACATACACACACATACATAGATACCAAACATACATGCATACTTTGTACATACATAGGTACACTCATAGGTTCAGACTTACATACAGGCATTCAAACACACTTGCAGACACATCCGCACATATGCATACATGCATGCACACACATACATACACATAAACACACATGTATGCATGCATGCGTGCGGGCGGGCCCGTTACCAAGGGGGTCGCAATGGCCAGGCCAGACCTCTGACGGGACCCGCGGGACCCGCGGGGGGGCCAGGAAAGGATCCAAAGCGAATGAACCGAACTGAGAGGTTTGACGATCCGCCAAATGGATCTGCCGTATAAAGATACTGACCAGGCGGTTGGCGGTTTTCACCCGCGCGCCCAAGATTTTTTCTAACCCACGTACGCATGGCCTAAAAGAGTGACACACAAGCACCACAGGCGCCACGCATTGAGCTGCAGATTTCCTCTTGACTACTCGCATGCTGGCAGTACAAAGCCTGCTGACAGCACATGCAGCGCACGGTCCTAATCACCGAGACAGTTTTATCATATCTTCTCAACTGTCCTCAAGTGAGCCATGAAGCATGGCAAGCCTAGGATGAGCTACGGTCAGCAAAGGCTAGGAAAGGCCTAGGGTCAGCCAAACAAACGCCCTAAGCCCCGGATACGAGTATGCCTCGGACAGGGACAAGCGAAGCAGACAAACTTGCTTGTATGATGTCGAATTCGGCCCTTGTAGTCTGCCCCATGATAAACAAAATCGTATTCTTGCCGTGTCTCTCATTTCAAGTTGGCAAAGCATTCCAGTGGGGTGTCTGGTTGTTCCCTTGCTTTTGCTGTGGCCTGTCACCGGTTTACCTTGTGGGTGTTTTGACTTGGAAAGCCAACCGCCCAGAAGGAGAAACACTTAGCAAACTGAAACACTTAGAGCAGAATGAGGTTCACTTTGGGTTGTCAACTCACCGGATTGGGATTTGCGAGGCCAGCTCCTTGAGCGGCTCAGGCCGGAAAGAAAGGGCGGGTCCATAGACCCAGGTTTCAACGCGACCGAAGTTGGTTTTCACCAAGGCATTCCCAATGGATAGGGCATGCATGTATGCATATGCATCATGAACTTTGTACACCTTACTCCAGTTTGTGGACTTTGTTAACTCGTTGAAAGCACCGGTCAACGAAAGGTGCAGGCTGCTGGCCAATCGGAAGTGATTGGCACACGTTGTTTTGGGCTTTGGTTGATGACTTTTAGCGTTCAGAGTTCGTGAGTCTTGGGTGCCCCACTTTTCGAAAGGCAGGGACTGACTTGGTAGAAATCATGTCCCCCTACAAACGCCCTACCGGCTTAACGACGCCAGGAGCAGCGCCTATTTGGGGATCCACTTCGCCCCATAAATTGCTGTGCTAAGGAATCCATGTGAGATGTCGCTTCGATTCGACACGGCGCGCCGCCGAGAGCCATTTGGGCCTTTGAGCTCTGCTTTTGGGTTTTAACATTCGGCGGTTGGCCATGTCGCTTTGTGGGAACTGCGACACTTTTGTCCGCGGGCGGACAATGTGCACGGGACGAGGCGCTGGTGGGTTGCAACACTTCGCGCCCAACAAGCGCACTTGAAAGGCACCCTTCAAAGCGAAACTACAAGAAAATTGTCCACTGCTTTGTTGTTGTTTGATTTGGTGCTGCGTGTTCCACTTGATCGTTTCTCACTGCTGGTTGTGCTTGTCAGACTGCCTTTAAGTAGTTGGTTGTATGCCAACAAGTCCAAAGTATGCTTCGTGGCGTTGAACACTGGTGAGACTCTTCAGTGGGCTCCTGTTCTCGTTGGGCCGCCACACTTTACTGTTGGTATGTGTGTGTATTGCCACTGCTCCGCTACCATGTTAAAATGCAAGCGCTACGGGCTGTACCTCAATCCCTTAAGTGCAAACCCTGTGCGTGTCATTACAGCACGCGCCTGTACCTTTCGTCACACCTTTGCCCACAATAGCGTTTGCCACATGAGGAGTGCAAGGGAGCTGTATCTCGAAACATTGACATGTTTGTAACATCACAAGGCATCCTGTTGAGGTTCGGCGGTTCCGAAGAAGAAGCACAGCCATGTGGAAGAGTTTCGGTAAAAGGTCACAGCCATACTGTGGATGGACGAAACCCTGCACCACTTTCAAACCATGGGAAGCCATTGTTTGCTGGTATTTACAGGGGAATCATTCATTCCAGGGTTTCTTAGGTGGTGCAGGATTCTGTCCATCCACAGTATCATCTATATTGACTTGGAATTCCAAGGTCCGAAGCTTCCCTTTTGGAGAAACCCTTCAGCTCAAGAAAGGCGCATCTTGTGACCCCACTTAAAGAGCGGTTATTTTTTCGTCTCCCTTCGCTCCTTGATTTTGAGAGCAACAAGATCCTGCATTCGCGCGGCTTCAACGGAGCTCCGCGAGATGCATCCATGTCTCGGGGTTTGCGAGGCATGGATGCCCACTCCCCAGAGCCAATCTCGGAGGAAGCACGTGCCTCGGTCTGCAGTCCCGCAACCGATAGGCCTGGCCTGCAGAAGTGGCGATTCGTTGTCTTTGAATCGCCACGTGCAACTCAAGGGGAACTCCAGTGACCTTTGTGCCAAAGTGCCATTCTATCCTTCTATGCGGGCAGTTGGGCAGGGCCCGAGGGCTAAGGCGTGTGGATGTGCGCGAAAAACATAGTCAACCAGTGTGGTTGTTGTTTTAAGCATGATGTTTGGGAATGTCACACCTGTATTTCCCAACATGGCATTATTTGTAAACGCTTCGCGTTGCCCGCCTTGGCCAGAATGGGGTACTGTGTTTTCTGCCTTGAAGTGTTGCGTTTGTCTGAGTGTCGCAAAGCGCGAGCTGGTTTCCAAGGTAAAAGAGGGTGGGTGCATGTTCAAGCCTGAGGGTTTGTGGGCCCGTTTTAGAGGGGATTTGATTGGCTTGTGTGAATTTGATTACTCGGGGGTCGACAGGTTTCGAGGCAGCTGGAGCATGGTGTGGGTGGGGCTTCCCGGCTGGGCCGAGACGACTTACAGGGGACTGTCATTGTTGTTTCTAGATCTCCAGTTTGACAAAGTTATGGCAAGGCTCTGTCCGCTCAGAGGGTAGCTGGGCAAAAGCCGACTGCTCATCTTGAGAGCGTGCAAGCCTTCAGGCAATTGAACTATTTCTGGCCTGTAAACCCAGCCCTCCCTCTTGAGAGAGTAGAGCGTGCAATCTCCTTTCGGACCTGTGGTGGTTGATTGCCTCAGTTTTTGCAAGCAAGCCGATCGCATTGTTGCAATAAACGACTGTAAGAAAAAAGGAAGAAAGAGAAGGTTGACGGCTTGCAGGCTTTGCCTTTGCCTACTTGGGTTGTGTGTTGGAACCAACTACTGGTAACATATAGCATATTGGGGCAATCCCAGTATCTTAACTCAAGTTGCCGTGCCGGGAGCTTGCGTGGGCCACTCACGAATAGACGTAGGCTCACTTGAACCTGGCTTCCTGGCCTGGCTTGCTTCCTTTGAACTCTTTCTGCGGTTTCCTTCGAAGCCATCTGCTTTGATCGTGCCAACCTTGAGACGTGCGGAGGTCAAATCGCGCGTTTTCTCAAAGCATAACTTGGGGAGGGGCTGATTGAAACGCCGGGGGCGACCTCTCGCCGCGCACCGCAACTTTCGAAGCCTCTCGGATCTACGGTGACGGCAACTTAGGACTCAAGAAGATCTTCGGGGAGCAAGGCATCCCTCCGGCGCCATGCCCCTTCTCCACGAAATCTGTGCGAGATGCTCGGCTGAGCGCGAGAATCCATCGGAATCCAGACCTTTGTCGGACCATTCCCCGCAAGCATGACATGAACCCTAGCTCATGGGTACATGATCTGCTTTTGAAGGTCCCTTGGATATCTCAGGTTGGAACATAGCGTGCGAATATGCAAAGAAAGCAGCAGGCTGTTGTTTTTCGTGATGGATCTTGTGCAAATCGCTTGCGCTTTTCCAGTGTTTTTGTGGACAACTGCTTTTGCGCTTCATGGACTTGCGCCGTTGAGGGGCTGGCATCACGCTTCAGTAGTCAAGACACAGACACTGCCCTTAAGCTGTCACCGCGCAAGTTTGCAACAGACATGTTTTTTGTTTTTTTTTGCGTAGAACAAAGCAGGGCTAGAACGGAGGAATGGCTGCAACTTGTTCTGTTTGTTTTGGATCAGCGCGTCACTTGCGAATCGAGTGCAGTTGGTGTTACGCGGATTGCTAGCTTTGAAAGGGAACTGGCTAGGCTGGGCTGCAAGGAATAGAGCCTGCAAGAAAGGACCAAGAGAAAGTCAGGGTTTGCTTGCTTGAAATGTTCTACACCCAAAATTGAGGTTTTCTGAAAAGGTCCCCGTTGATGTTGTGTAGGTCCAGTAAAACGGCCACCCTTTGGGGGATCCCCGCCCCCCATATGAAGACCAACCCGCTTCGAGTACTCTACTTTTCGTGGAGTCTCTTTGGAAGGAAACCTAGTTTTGACACTGATAAACACAAAATAAATGCCGGAGCTGTCCGAAAGGCCTCGTAACAGGCATGAAGGAGAAGAGCTGTTTGTCTTAGCCGCGCAAGACTCGCGACGGAGGTCGCGACAGTTTTCTCGCGACAGTTTTCATAAAGTTTATGTAAGGGTGGTTTGAAAAACGGAAGATTGAATGATGAGCCATGTGTGTTTGCTGGCAGCGCGCGCAGAATGCATGCAGACTAAAGCTGGTCGGAGGAAAGCGTGGCCTGAGGATTGCCGCACAATTTCGCCGGATTTGCGGGAATGTTTGGCGTAAGATCCGCAAAAGTTTCGCGAAATTCGATGGCCCTCCCTGCCAGTTTCCCGGACACTCATGGCCAACGTGCCGCCGCCTGCGCTGCAGCACGGCTTGCAAGCCTCTTACTTCGTCCGCTACTTTTGTGATGAATGTCGTGAAAATAGGCCCGCGAAAGCTCCACGATGGAGGTCGCCAAAACAGTTCTTGTCCGTGAAGATGGCGTACCGCCATACATAAACATTTGCTGTTTCTGTTTTGCTGCAGGCGTGCTAATTTGCGAAAGACCTTTATTGGACAAAAAGGATGCGTTATTGTTTTCGTGCACGGGCCTGGAGCCTCAACTGCTTCTCCAAAGGCAAGCCCGAGTTTGAGTCTTGCATGAAAAGCACGGCAACTGCCCTATTTCAGAGACAAACCGGACATCTACACTACACAAGATCAATCATGGCTTCTTCTGGTCTCCAACTTTGTGTTGATGTTCAAATGCTCTTTGTTCGTGCCCTGCGCGCCAGCCTCGCATGTCCGCCGCGCGGGATGGATGGATGGATGGATGGATGGATGGATGGATGGATGGATGGATGGATGGATGGATGGATGGATGGATGGATGGATGGCTGGCTGGATGGATGGATGGATGGATGGATGGATGGATGGATGGATGGATGGATGGATGGATGGATGCATGGATGGATGGATGGATGGATGGATGGATGGATGGATGGATGGATGGATGGATGGATGGATGGATGGTTGCCACATGGATGAACGGATGGATGGGTGGTTGCTTGTGTGCGTGCGGCCCGACCGCGCGTCATCAGGACTGGCCCTGAGATGATGCTGACTATGATGAAATCCGTTTTGAGACCACTATGGCTCATCCTCACTGATGACGATATTCATCATAGCACCCACTGCATCCTAAGCAATGTCTAGTGAAATGTGCAAATAATACCAAGAAAAGAAGGAGATGATAACGACTATGATGGAGTCCGTTTTCGGACTGGTATGACTCATGATCTCCGCCTTTTCAACGACTTTGTCTCACCCTCAGGGGCGCGCCCGCGCGGACTCAAGTACAATAAAGTTGAATCATTGAAGCTCATCGTGACAATGATGATCATCATCACCATGGTGAAAGTTTTGATCAGAGTCCCAGCGATGCTTGATGATGATGATGATGATGATGATGATCATCGGAGGAGTCTCCGTTTTTTTAAAGGTTTTTTTTT